AGTGGCAGCACGCGGGAAAAATGGAAACGAGGGAGAGAGGGGCAATGCGAGGGTTAGGAACGAGCAAGCGCAGGGTAGATGGATGCGAGTGGATGCAAACGCTAGCGAACAGCGTGCAGCAGGAGAGCAGGAGAGCCGGAGAGCCGGAGAGTCGCAGGGCGACAAGAGGTGCTGCTACAGCCCATGCATGCACCATGCACTGCGAAAGGTGCTGCTGCTAGCCGCTGCTCTAGAGCGCCACAGCTTACCCCACTGCCATGCCACTGCCTAAGGCCACCTGCACACCACACTGCGCGCGCTACAGGTGCCTTCCATACCGGACCAGCGGCTTTGGGTCCCATTCGGGCTACGAGAGTCATACTGGCATGCCGCGATAGCTGAACTACGGGGCCAGGAGCGGTGGTTCAAAAACTATCCGGAAGCAGCAACGAGGCTGGCTTGCGTCTAACCAACAGCGTGTTAGTGAGCCTGGTCAGTGCCTTGCGCGCAGGAGATCAAGATTGGCTTCCTGGCAACTGCGCAACAACTCGAATTCGACCCGCGTACGCAACACTCGCCTCGCGGCGGCGTGCACCCACGCGCCCTCCACCCGCCCCACGCGCACTGGCTTCGCACTCACTGGTTGTGGCGCAGCGACTCGAGGTAGAGCCTGAGCCCGCTGTTGTAGTCGCGCGGCTGGCCGACGTCCATCCAGAAGCCCGGCAGCACCATGGCGAACAGCTTGCTCTCCGCCGCGATCTTCGGAAACACCTCCTTCTCGATGGACGTGGGGCGCAGCTCGATGCGGTCCAGCACGCGCGCGTCCAGCAGGTAGATGCCCGCGTTGATCTTGTTCCCCACAAACACCTTGGGCTTCTCCACGAACCGCTGCACGCATGACGTCGCCTCGTCTACCACCACCACTCCGTACTTGGACGGCTCCTCCACCTGCGCGGGGGAAACGGAGAGGGGAGCGATGGGTGGGAAAAATTGGGGGGAGGAGAGGGGGAAGGAGGGGAGGTTGCAGCGGAAGGGGAAAGAGGAGTTCGAGTTTGTGATGAGCAGCGCGCAACAGTGCCAGAGGGATTTGGGAAGAATGTTGTGTTAGGGATCAGGGGAAAGGCGAACGCCCCAGCCGTCTGATATTTGAAACAATTCGCGGCGATTCAAAGGAAATTTGTGAGACGCGACTGATTCGTTCGCTAGCATCGTAGCATCGGCTGTAACGAGCAGTATACGGTGCGCAGCGACTGACCTTGGTGACCATGATGGTGCACTCGCCGCCGTGCTTCTTGTGGAAGTCGAGCATCTGCGAGAGCGGGTACTCGCTGATGACGTCACTGTTGAGCACGAAGAAAGGGTCGCCCGAGCCGTCGTCGAGGATGTGTCTGGCGAGCGCGAGCGGGCCCGCCGTGCCCATCGGCTCCTTCTCCTGCGAGCACACGATGCGGATGCCCACCTTCGCCTCGTACTCCTTGATGAACGTCATCATCACCTGCCACGTCACGACCGCATCGCATCGCATCGCGCGGGGGTTGTGCGGGAGGATGCACGTTGAATATTGATTGGAATGATAAGATTAATAGGCACGAACGGAAATCGGTTAATTTTCGGTATTTTCACTTGTGATCTGATTTGTTAAGCGGATTCGCGAAGGATCAGCGAGAGAGATGGCGCGAGAGAGGCGAGGGGGCGGCGTACCTCGGGTTGGTAGTTGATGGCGAGAACGACCTCGTCCACCCCCGCTGCCTTGAGCGCCTCGATCTGGTGGAGGATCATGGGCTTGTTCGCGAAGTCGACCAGCGGCTTGGGTACGCTGAGAGTGAGCGGCCGCAGCCGCGTGCCGAAACCGCCGACGAGAATGAGAGCCTTCATGCTGGCGTGCTGCTGTGTGGTGGCCGATAAGCTCGGTGCGCGGCGATACAGTCGCAGTTACAGGGAAGAAAAGGAGCAACAGTAGGAAACTACGGCGTGGAAGAGCGATAGGAAACTGCGACTGGGCAAAGGAAATTTGATAATTTCAAAGAGAGTTTGGGAAGAGTGTGAGGTTGTCCGGTGGATAAGTACTGATCCGAGCAACTAACTACAAACTCCTGGTAAATCCCAACCAACTAACGGTCGCCTGAGAGGCTACGCTTGACGGGAAAGATGCTTGAAACGCGGATGAACGGTTGTTGTCCTGCTGCTGCTTGTGCAGTGGGGCAAAGAACCAACGTCGCTGACCGTTCCGTTGCCACGTGCGATCGAAGCAATCCCGCTGGCCACAGGTTCAGGGGGACTGTGCTGAGCTGATGTCATCAAAGTCCAGGTGGCCACCAGCACCTGGAACTTCACCACAAGATGTTGTCTCCGTGGGCTGCTGCCGATTGGAGGAATGAGTGCAGGCCGAGAGTAGTTGGGGAGCAGACGTGGCCGCTGCGCGACCAGGTGTTGACGGTCGTAACTGTTTCAACCTTGTGTTCCGTCAACAAAGCGGTGCGGTTCAGGTAACACAAAGCACCTGCGGCTTGGTGACGGGAGAATATGCCCCCTTCATTCTGTACGCTACATGGAGCGAATGGGCTGTGGAGATAGGAGACGTCATAATTTTACGAGATGTTCATACAAGCTACCAAACCGTATCTAGATGTACTTTAGCGAGATGTGACTACATGAAGGTTCAGCGCCTGCTTTGCCGTACCTGTTGCCGTGGTTGGGGAATTCGGTGCGCCGTGTGGCATGGAATTTCCAAGAGCGACGCGACACGGTGAAGTATTCTGTATGATTTTACAGTATTCTTACCCTTACTTTCGGTCAGCACACAACAGCCCCCATACCAGAAAATGGCTCAATCCAAACCAAGAAGGCATCCAATCCAACCCCAGCATACATGTGATGGGTATGTGGATTCAAAAGAAAATCTGCCCGAAGGGCTAATTCCTTGACAATGCAGCTCCCTTCTACTTGCCTCCCACTGGGAACAGGGTGGTCCAAGACTTTTCAAACGACCAGCTGAGACTAGAGCGCGGAATTTAGTCTGTAGTCTCGCAAGCTGCACTAGTTCTGATACTACAGACAATTCGCTTTAGATGACGTTCGTGTACATCCAGTTGTGCTCGTTCTAACTCAAATTCCGCAATTTCAGCTAAGAAATGACGAACCCTCGATTAAGCAGCCAATTCAAGCGAGCAGCCTATTCGTCCTAAATTCACGTGGACTGACTAGCTCTTGTCACGGAACTCGAATCTTAGCTTCCATCAGTTCGCCTCACCTCGTCTTTCCATGGCGTCCCTACCCCGCCACGGCTGCCTCTTCCTCCTCCCGCTCCTCCTTTCCTTCGCATCCCCTTCCCTCCCGCACCCCTCCTCTCTCCCACGTTCGCCGTCGTCGTCCGACCCATGGCGTACCCCTCGTCGCCGCGCGACTCTTAACGACGACGTGCGACGGTCTGCGATTCAGAGCGAGTACCCGAATCTCATGAAGTCGGCGACAGCGTTGTACCCCAACAGCGTCGTCGGCCCCTACGACTGGACGTACTTCCCTGGTACGCCGCTACGACTGACTGTACTTCCGTTATTACAACAGGGATTCGACTCTGCGCATCCGTTGTTACGGATGGGCTGCTGACCTGGATTGATGCTCTGTGGTGCCGCTGGTGCCCCATCCCATCGTCCCTTTGCCCACATCCCTAGGCCTCTTTTCCCCCCATCACCCCTCCCCATTTCCCCTTCCCGTTCCCTCCCCTCTCTCCCCCTCCCCCTCCTCATCCCTCTCCTCCTCCAAACACACAACCGCCTTGCGCCGTGCGGGGAGCAGCGGAGGTGCCGGAGGGCGCGCTGATCGTGAGGTTCGAGTTCCGCAAGCTGTGGGCCTCACAAGCGGTAAGCTGGGGGCGCGCAGAGGGTAAGCTGGGGGCGCGCAGAGGGTAAGCTGGGGGCGCGCAGAGGGTAAGCTGGGGGCGCGCAGAGGGTAAGCTGGGGGCAGCCTTCCCCTGATGCTCCAATTCCGCTTCACTGTTTCGTTTCCCCACGCCAACACTCTCTCTCGCACCACCTCCTTGTTCCCATCTCGGTTCTATACACCCCTCTCCCCTCGTCCCCCCATGTCCTCCCCTTCCCCGCCCTAAACGCCCACCACGCCCATCCACCAGGACGAGGTGCCTGCACACGCTGCAGGTAACACGGACGCAGCGGGGGAGTCACAGCAAGCAGGCAGCAGCAGCAGCAGCAGCGCGGAGGCAGGGGCAGCGGCATCGGGTGGTCCCTTGGTGTGCTTCGCGCTGGGCTCGCTGCCGCTGCCATCGGACCACGAGCCACACTGTGCGTGCTGCCCGCCCCTCCTCACACCTGCCCCCTGCCCCCTGCCGCCTGCCGTCGCTAGGTGCTGCAGATTCCTCTCGCTACAGCTGCCGCTGTTCTCCCCTCACGCGCCCACACGCTCTCTGGGTCTACCAGGCATCACACATTGCCCCCTCCATTGCACTTCGCTCTGTCTCTTCCCCCCCAGCGCCATGCCCTCGCTCCTCCCTCTCACACCCTCCTGCAGCACAATTCTCCATCTGTCAATCCATTGCTCCAGCTGTCAATCCCTTGCTCCATCTGTCAATCCCTTGCTCCAGCTGTCAATCCCTTGCTCCATCTGTCAATCCATTGCTCCAGCTGTCAATCCCTTGCTCCATCTGTCAATCCCTTGCTCCAGCTGTCAATCCCTTGCTCCATCTGTCAATCCCTTGCTCCAGCTGTCAATCCCTTGCTCCATCTGTCAATCCCTTGCTCCAGCTGTCAATCCCTTGCTCCAGCTGTCAATCCCTTGCTCCAGCTGTCAATCCCTTGCTCCAGCTGTCAATCCCTTGCTCCAGCTGTCAATCCCTTGCTCCATCTGTCAATCCCTTGCTCCAGCTGTCAATCCCTTGCTCCAGCTGTCAATCCCTTGCTCCAGCTGTCAATCCCTTGCTCCAGCTGTCAATCCCTTGCTCCAGCTGTCAATCCCTTGCTCCATCCCTTTTCGCCAATCTCTTGGTGACATCCTCCTCACAGAAACGCATGTCACGTTCTGGGTGCCGCGTGCTGCCCCGTCGCTCTCTTGTGCGCTCACTTCTCATTCTTACTGCCAGTCTGCGTCTGCTTAATCCCTCCCACTTTCTCCCCAACCCCATGCTCCGCCTCCCCACCCTCCCGATCATCCCCTCCCCCCTCCCCCTTTTGCTGCTGCAGACGAGTCACTGGAGGCAGCAGCCAAGGCGGCGGGGGGAGCGCTTTCCCCCTTTGGGGGGGCCATGGGCGCAGTCACAGTGGAGCGCGGGCAGGAGCAGGGGGATGGCCCGGGGGCAGGGGGAGGCGCAGGGGCGGGGAAGGGTGGGGGAGGGCGGATGGTAGACGCATCTGCTGCAGCTGCAATCGCGGCTATGGTGGGGGAAGGGTGGGGGGGCGGCGGTGGTAAGGGGAATGGCACAGTGGGGGAAGGAGGGTCGGGGTTGGGGGGTAAGAGAGGGGGAGGGGCGGGGCAGTCGCACTGTGCCTTGTTCCACTCCACCGCTGTCTTCAGCCTTCCCGCCGACCAGGTGAGCCCGTGAGGCCAGGGCAGGCAGGCTGGGAGGCGGCAGGGCGTTGAGAATGGTGGTTGGACGCATGCGAGCTATGCTGTGCCCTCTCATGTACTGCGCATGGTCTGTGTTGTGCCCCTTCTCTTCATTACCCTTCCTTTCGCAACCCAGCTCCTCACTATTTGCTACTCTTCCCATTGTTCCTCTCATTCCCCCACTCCCACACCACACCCCCCAACGCTCCCACCCCCCTTCCCAAACCCCATCTCCGTCACCCGTCTCCCTCACCCCGCAGCAACCGGTGGCGGGTGTGTGGAACGTGGGGGTGTTCAGCGAGTGGGGGCCAGCACGCACGCAGTCCCAGATGGTGCTGCGGGGGGGCATCCCTCCCATTGTCTTCTCATCCCCTCCCCCCACCTCTCAAGCCCCCCCAACTCCCTCACCCCTCCCATCCCACGTGCTCGCAGCAACCGGTAGCAGGCGTGTGGAACGTGGGGGTGTTCAGCGAGTGGGGGGCGGCGCGCACGCAGTCCAAGATGGTGCTGCGGGGGACATCGCACACCTTCGACCTCGCCCTCACCGCCTTCTCCTGCTTCAACGCGCCGCTGCTCTCCGGCCGCTTCTGCAATGACTCGCGCACGCCGCTGCCTCTGCACCCCCTCTCCTCCCACACGTTTCTCCCTGCTCGCCCTCCTGTGACACCGCAAGCAGCCAATGCTTCGTCTGGAAACGACTCCTCCTCCCCCCCCGCCCCATCCCCATCCCCCTCCGACCCCTCGTCCCGCCATCACGATGCATTCACAGCACCGGGCATGGACGCCCTGTACGGGGGCTCTCTCACTCACCAGTGCCTGCGCGCCTCCTCTCCCCCGCTCCTCTTCACCCTCGCCATCCCCCAGCCCCTGCCCAAGCTCCTCATCTCCATCTACCCCGAACCACCCTCCTCCTCCTCTGCCTCCTCCGCCTCCCCCCTCCCGTCCTGGCTCACGGGTCACGCCCGCTCTGCCAACGCCTCTCCCTCCGTGCAGCTGCGCCGCATGGCTCTCCTCGGCCCGTCGAATCGCGGCGCGCCAGCTGGACCCTCCTTTTCCGTGCAGCCGCGTTCAGAGACCGAGGAGCAAGCAGGCAGCAGCAACAGCGGCGATGTTAGGGGCAATGGAGGGCAGGAGGGGAGGGGGGGAGCGGAGGGGGGGGCGGGGGTGGACGTGTGGTGGAGCGAGGGGCGCATGGACATTGGCAGCTGGCAGGCCGTGGCTGACCCGGGCTCCTGGCACCTGCTGCTCTCCCACCCTGCCAGCAGCGCTGCGCGGAGTGGGTCCGGTAATGGCAGCACGGCTAGCAACAGCAGCAGCAGCAGCATTGGTGTCAACGGTAGTACCAGTGTTAGCAGTGGTGGTGGTGGCAGTGGTGGTAGGGAGGGGGGAGATGGAGGGTGGTGGGCGTCGCTGTGGGGGGGGTCGTGGGCGCACGGGCAGCAGGGGGGGGCTGCGGATGAGGGAGAAGGGGGCGGAGAGGTGTGTGTGAGCATCCAATGGAAGGCTGCCACGTGTTTCCCCCGCCTCACTGGGCCTCAGTGCCAGTGGCCGCTCATTCCCCTCGAGGTGAGGCTAGAGGCGAGTGAGAGGTAGGGGAGGGAGAGGGGAGGTGGAGGGACAGGGGACGTGTGAGGAGGGTTGGTGGGTGAGTGGAGGGTGGGAGGGATTTGAAAGCAATGCAGGAAGGAGCCTGCTCCTCTCACACCCAATGCAGTGCGGTGAAGTGCGGTGGAGATGGATGACTCGTATTGCATGCCTCCCACACCCACCATGCTCCTTCTACTCTTGTTAAACCTGTGCCCTTCCTCCCGCACCCCTCTCACCTCCCACCCCTCTCTTTGTGCCGTTCTGCCCTCTGCCTCTCCCTCACACCCATCGCCCCCGCACCCCCACTCCCCACCCAACTTGGCCCATCACCCCTTCTGCATGCCCGTGCCCTTTCCCCCCAATCCCACCAGCCGCACCTGCTCTCATGGTCGTACGAGTCAGGCCTCGACGCAGCCTACCTGCCCCCCGCCTCGCCTGCCCCGCCCTCCCTGTGGGCGTCGTGGTTCCCCGTGCCCGTTGCCGCCTCGCCCTCCCCTGCGCGCCCCTCCTGGGCCTTCCTCTCGCTCGCTCCGCCCTTTGGGGCGCGCGGGGGCGTTCTCTCCATCCACCTGCGCCTCCGCCCGCTCAGGCAGGGCCCAGGGGCGGACGGGGATGGGGAAGGGCAAGGGGGAGAGGGGGAGAGTGGAGGCAGTGGCAACAACAGCAGTGCAGGGGGGGTGGCAGTGGGGTCATCCGGTGCAGCTCCGACGGCGTTTGTGTATCTGCTCGTGCGTGCCGGTGGCCTGCCGTCCCTCACACGCTTTGATGCCTCCGCTGTCGCACCGGCCACAGATATGGGTGAGTGGGTGGTTGGGAGATGGGTAGGTTTGAGATGGGTGGGTGGGTGGGTAGGTGGGTGGGATGGAGGGTGCCTCTGCTCGGTGTTCCTCTCCTCATCCCCGGACAACTTAACCTCTTTCCCCCCTCATTCTCCACTCCTCCCCCCGTCCCCTCCCCCACCATCCCATCCCACCCCTTTCCCCCACCACTGACCTCACCTTCCCCCACCTCTCTCCGCTCCTCACCCTCCCTTCTCCCCCCCCACTCCCCCGGTGCAGCGGCCAGGGGCGGGCAGCTGTCGCTGGAGCTCATCCACCCCGCGGAGGTCACCACCTTCGTGGCCGTGGGGCTGGACGCTGCCGCGCCACGCACAAGCGAGGGGGGCAAGGAAGAGAGTGACGAAGAGGGGGAGGGGGAGGGGGGCGACGGGGAGTGGGCGTGGGAGTGGGAGGTGCGGGTGGTGCAGCATGGGTGTCCCAACGGCTGCTCGGGCAGTCCCTGCCACGTCATGGCAGACGGCGCCTTCCAATTCGGTGTCTAGTATGTGTTATCACCCTCACTCCCTCCACTCTCCCCAGTCACCTTCTCCCCGCCTCCTCGCTTTTCCACTTTCTCGTTCACTCGCCTTGCATGCGCTATCACCCTCCGCTGCCCGGAATTGCAAGTTTCAACACTGCTGTTGTTTGTGCCTCTGTCGTGCAACTCTCCTCGACCCACTCACCCCTCCCCCACAGCTACTGCTTCTGCGATCGGTCGCACGGGGGGGTGGACTGCTCCATTGAGACCGTCTCACAGCTAGGTGCGTGCTGCCAGGTGGAACACAACGCACAGGTGACAGCACCTTCTCTGTGGTGTTTAACAGACATCGCCACCATGTGCTCACCACACATCACCGCCATGTGCTCACCACACATCACCGCCATGTGCTCACCACACATCACCGCCATGTGCTCACCACACATCACCGCCATGTGCTCACCACACATCACCGCCATGTGCTCACCACACATCACCGCCATGTGCTCACCACACATCACCGCCATGTGCTCACCACACATCACCGCCATGTGCTCACCACACATCACCGCCATGTGCTCACCACACATCACCGCCGCCATGTGCTCACCACACATCACCGCCATGTGCTCACCACACATCACCGCCTCACGATGTTAACGTGCTGCCCCTCTCCTCTCCCACTTCCTCCTTCTCCCGCGTCTCCTCTCGTCTCTCCCGCGTCGCCTCTCGTCTCTCCCGCGTCGCCTCTCGTCTCTCCCACTTACCCTGGGCTTCCTTCTCTCACTCATAAGACCCGCAATCCCAAATGGGACTGTCTAAAACTGCAGCTGCGCGCCCTTTCCACCTCTTGCCTTTCCACCTCTTGCCCTTTCCACCTCTTGCCCTTTCCACCTCTTGCCCTTTCCGCCTCTTGCCTTTCCACCTCTGATTATCTCCCTCGTTTTCTCTCGCCCTCTTCCAAGCGCCCACCATCCGTCGCCCGTGCCGTGCCCCACTGCCCGTGTGACTGGCAGGCATAGAGCAGCAGCGCTGGGCGCTGGTGGGGAGCAACGTGGTGGCTGTGCTGCCAGCCATGGTTTCGCTGTACCTTGGAGTAAGTCAAGGGGGAAAGGATGGTGTCGTGTCGCTGTGTCTGGGGGAAAGGCATGGTGGTCTGAGCTCATGCTTTCTCACACCACTCTGCATCGCTCCGTCCCTCCGGACACCCACCCTCACCACTGTATCCCTTTCATCCGCTCCCCCTCACCACACTCCCGCATCTCCCTCCCACGCCCACCCATCCACTGACTGACTCTCTACCAGGCATACCCCGAGTGGGTGATGTTCTCGCTCAACGGGCTCTGCAGCGCCCTCTACCACCTGTGTGACACGGACGGCTGGTGCGCTGCGCGCTACCCCACGCTGCAGTTCGCCGACTTCTACTCGTCCTTCCTGGCCGTGCTGCTGGCCTTCCTGCACGCGGCCCAAGTGCCCATCTGGCCGCGCTTCCTCTTCTTCGTCCTCGCCTCCTTCTCCACCGCTGTCATGGCTGTCGACCGCGCCACCAGGTGAGCCACCAGGTGAGGCGCCAGGCGAGGCGCCAGGAGAGGCGCCAGGTGAGGCGCCAGGCGAGCCATCAGGTGAGCCATCAGGTGAGCCATCAGGTGAGCCATCAGCTCACCCATCAGGCGAGCCATCAGGTGGGCTTAGAGGGCTCACACGGGCAACCCACCCGGTAAGCCACCAGGTGAGCCAGTGGGCAAGCCAAAGTCAAGAGGGTCAAGCCACAGTGTGAGGCGTGCGGGTGGTGAGGGCAGGGAGGTGCAGTGCGGGGCGGTGGGGCTCTGGTCTGATCTGATCTCATCTCACGCGCCACAAGCGGCGCCTCACGCCCTCACGCTCCTCCAACGCCTTCCACCTTGCCGGCCGTGTGCCCTCGCTCTCACTTGCCTGCCTGCCAAGGGACGAGAGGACGCCCTTTATTTTCCTACCGGGCTTATCAACCCCACGCCACGCAGCAAGGTAGCTCAGCTGATTCTCTCAACATTTCCTTCCTCCCTCAACAGCCAGCCGTCCTCCCTGTACTGCCAGCCGTCCTCCCTCTACTGCCTGCCTTGCCTTCTTCGTCGCCCGAATCGTCTTCCCCGTGTGTGCCCCCCCCGAAAACCATCATGGGCAGTGGGTGGAGCATCGTGGTGCTGCTGGCGCTGGGAGCAGCGGCGCTCATCACCGGCTGGTTCATTCGCCTCGCTGCTCTGCGCCGCTCCTCCTCCGCCTCCTCCTCCGCCGCCCCTCATGCCCCCCACACGCCTCTCGAGGCGGCAAGCTGCGCTGTGCAGTCCGCGGAAGAGCAAGGGGGCTCCCGGCATGGGCACGTGGAGGAGGAGGGCGCGTCTCTGCTGCCGCCCCCTTGCAGCAGTGACGGGGAGTGGCCATGTGGGGTCACGAGGGAAAGTAAAGCGCGGCAGCACGCATCGGTGTGGAGAAGAATGTTCCAATGGTGTGTGTGTGGTGGTGATGCCATGGCATTGACTGCATGGCATTGACTGCATGGCATTGACTGCATGGCATTGACTGCATGGCATTGACTGCATGGCATGGACTGCATGGCATGGACTGCATGGCATTGACTGCATGGCATTGAATGCGTGGCATTGACTGCGTGGCATTGACTGCATGGCATTGACTATGGCATTGACTGCATGGCATTGACTGCATGGCATTGAATGCATGGCATTGACTGCATGGCATTGACTGCATGGCATTGACTGCATGGCATTGACTGCATGGCATTGACTGCATGGCATTGACTGCATGGCATTGACTGCATGGCATTGACTGCATGGCATTGACTGCAGGGCATTGACTGCATGGCATTGACTGCATGGCATTGACTGCATGGCATTGACTGCAGGCATTGACTGCATGGCATTGACTGCATGGCATTGACTGCATGGCATTGACTGCATGGCATTGACTGCATGGCATTGACTGCATGGCATTGAATGCATGGCATTGACTGCATGGCATTGACTGCATGGCATTGACTGCATGGCATTGACTGCAGGCATTGACTGCATGGCATTGACTGCAGGCATTGACTGCATGGCATTGACTGCATGGCATTGACTGCATGGCATTGACTGCAGGCATTGACTGCATGGCATGGACTGCATGGCATTGCATGCAGTGGGCGGTGGTATGAGAGCAGTGGCACAACGTCACAATCAAATTGCCTTTCGCTGCCTCACGTGCTTCCGCATCTGCTGCCCGTCCCTTGCCCACATGCATATCTTCGTCCCTTGCCCACATGCATATCTTCGTCCCTTGCCCACATGCATATCTTCGTCCCTTGCCCACATGCATATCTTCGTCCCTTGCCCACATGCATATCTTCGTCCCTTGCCCACATGCATATCTTCGTCCCTTGCCCACATGCATATCTTCGTCCCTTGCCCACATGCATATCTTCGTCCCTTGCCCACATGCATATCTTCGTCCCTTGCCCACATGCATATCTTCGTCCCTTGCCCACATGCATATCTTCGTCCCTTGCCCACATGCATATCTTCGTCCCTTGCCCACATGCATATCTTCGTCCCTTGCCCACATGCATATCTTCGTCCCTTGCCCACATGCATATCTTCGTCCCTTGCCCACATGCATATCTTCGTCCCTTGCCCACATGCATATCTTTTTCCCCTTTCACGTCTCTTCATCGCACTCCAATCATGCCTCAACCAAGAGCTTTTCCCGCACACGTCCTCTCTACGTACTCTCGCCCCCACCAGGTGCCGTGCACAGGAGGCAGTGGTGCTGCGTGTGCTGCTGGCGCTGCTGGCCACGTTCCACGTGCCGTCGCTGCTGCTGGGCGCCCTGGCGGCGCTGCTGGCGGCCTCCAGCTTCCTCGTGGAGGTGCCCGCCACCTACTGGATCTGGCACAGGTGGGGGGGGGAAAGGGGAGTGGGAGGTGGCGTGGGGGAATGGGACGTAGATGGGGGAGCATGAAGCATGTGCGGTGGGTGTGTGTGAACGTGGGCAGGTGGGCGGGATGTGGATATGCATGCGTATCTGTGTGCATGTCTGTGTGCATGTCTGTGTGCATGTCTGTGTGCATGTCTGTGTGCATGTCTGCGTGCATGTCTGTGTGCGTGTCTGTGTGTGCATGTGGGTGAGCATGCACTCGTGCGGAAGTACATCGACAGCGGCAGAAGAGGAGGGGAGCAAGGAGAGGATGGGAAAACACTTCGCTTTCTTACATTCTTCATCAAATTCTCTGCTTACGAAAAGCACTTGCTACTGCTCTGAACTCCATCTGTCCACCGTGGCTACAACAGCCCAGCCGTTCTCCACTTTCCGACCCACGTTTCTCTGCTCTCTTCCCTTCCCTCCCTCCCCTTTCCTCCCTCCCTCCCCTTTCACTCAAACCCGTTGGTGACTTTCTCACTCTAATATCTCCCCAATCCACTGCAGTGTGTGGCACGTGTGCATATACTCAGCTGCCTTCTTCTTCATGCTCGCCTCGCCACCGCCCAACAAGCACGGCTCCTTGCCGCTTGCTCTGTCCCCACGCTCACCACCACCAAAACGGCATGGCTCGTTCCGCTCCCATAGGAACAGCGATGATGTGAGTGTTGCTGGCAGCAGCAGTGGCGATGGCAGTAGCGAAGGCGGCTGGCCCATGGGGAAGAGAGTTGCTGGTTGCTCGGTTGGGAGAGAAGTAGAAGTGGACGAGGAGAGAGGCCTCTTGTTGATTCGTGATGATTCATAACTCCAGTTTAGTTTAAAGCACATTCTTGAAATAAGGGGTAGCCAGCGGAAGCAGTAGTTAGCCGTACGCCCACCTGTCCACCCACTGGGTTGAGCCTTGGCAAGGAAATAAGGGGTGGGTGCATGCACCCATGTGTTGCATATTCAAATGACTCATGGTTATTCCTAGCAATGCTGCGTGGGCAAGTTCAGTCAGTGCACAGCACGACCAAGAGTTCAGATCGGAGGACGAGTTCAGAGTTCGAGGTTGTAAGATTACCGTGCCTCAAATTGGTGGTGAAACTCCAATAAAACTCAACTGTTTCCAGCAATTTTGAGGTGGGTTTATGAGATTCTCCTGCATAGGACTTCGCTTAGCACCTCGATTAAAAAGATTTTTGGTGTTGCTTTTCATTGTCTTACAATGCGTGCCTTTGGCCCAACACCTAAGAGCTGCGAGCAGTATTTCACGGAGAAGAAGGAGCATCTCTCGACCGTGACACGCGGTTCTTGAATGCACGCCATGAGGTGGAATCCGAGGTGGTGCAGGGCAGTGATGGTGGCGTTGCGGTCCAGTGGGGCCACCGCATCTGGGAAGGCAAGCAGCAGCTGGCAGGTGGGCAGTGAGGCGTTTTGCTTCTGCCAGTCGAAGATGAGTGGCAGGTCAGCGCCTGTGAGTGACAGCTGCAGGTAGCAGTGGATGGCGTGGGGGATGTGGAATGGAGTGAGGAGAGGATGCAAACAGAACGGTAAGAGTAGGACAAGGGCATGGAGGGTGGGAAGGGAGGCGAGAAGGAAGAGTAGGTGGGATGCATTTGGAGAGTGACGGGTGCACAGGAATAGGGCACAGCGGGCAGGGAAGCCAAGGGGCAGGCAGAGAGCATGGAAAGCAGGGCAGGCAGAGAGCATGGAAAGCAGGGCAGGCAGAGAGCATGGAAAGCAGGGCAGCAGCGGTGGGCACCTTGAGTGTGTGGGCGGTGGAGGAGGCATGTGTGACGGCAGCAGGGAGAGCAGAGATGTGGAGGCCAGGCGCATGGCGCCGCATGCTCCACTCCCACGAGCCCTTCGCATGTGCGGCTCCCGGTGTGGTTGTCATGACCAGGCTAGCGGGTGAGGTGAGGGCAGGGCACAGAGGGGCAGGACACGCAGCACAGTCGTTGTGAGTGGGCTTTGGCACTTGGAGGCCACGGGCTGGCTGCAAACAGGGAACGTGTGAGTGGCACGCACCTGGTGCGGTTGACCCCGTGCAGCGCGGTGTAGAAGCACTGGCCAGGCGGCCCCAGCAGCTGCACCTCCCCCAGCTGCGACCGGAAGCACAGCACCGCCTCTGCTGGCGCCTGCCACTCCTCCGCATGCCGCCGCAGCTGGCACGATCCATGGGGGATGGGGAGAGGAGAGAGAGAGAGGCAGGCGGCACCAGGCATGGAGGCCAAGCAGAGCAGAGGAGCATGCAGACAAGGCGAGAGCTTCGCAAATCTACAGGGTGACTGGAGCTTCACAGGGCGAGTGCGGTCAGCACACGCATTCCCATACCTTCCTGAAGTTGCGTGCGCAGCCGCGCAGGGTGACATGCATGATGGAGTGGCGCTCCCTCGCCAGCCGTGGCCCGGCAGCGGCGTCAAACAGGGCGGCCGCCACGTGGGGGGCGGGCCACGGCTTGGCGGCGTCGCACAGCGCAAAGTCGGTGCGGTTGGCGAATGAGGGCGAGCGGTGCGGACCGAAGCGCGAGCCCTCCAGGTACCACCGCCGGATGCGCAGATTGGCCTGCCGCATGGATGCATGCAGTGATGTGCAGTGATGTGCGGTGATGTGCGGTGATGTGCAGTGATGTGCAGTCATGCAGTCATGCAGAGTTAGGTGTGGGAGAGCAGATGGCGTAGTGCCCTAAGAAGCACACTAGGAATGTGCACGTGCACGTGCATGTGAGCGGCTGCTTGCCCCACGCACTGAGCCCCCTGCTATGTGCTCGTGGCAGCGGGCCTCACCTCGGCACCTTTGATCTTGGGGTAGCAGGGCCGGCACTTGGCGCCGTTGAGGGGCGTGGACGTGTTGAGCGAGAGCACGGGCATGGCGTGGTGCCGGTACACTCGCCGGCTCACCACACAGAACGCCAGGTCCGCCCGTGCTACTGGCACCCCTGCCAGTGCCAGCTGCGCCTTGAACGCCTGCTCTGAGTTCAGCCCTGTTGGTACCCTGGTGGGCGCATGGCGGGGGGCAGGGGGAGGGACAGGGTGGGGTTTAGGGCTGTGCTGTTGTGTTCAAGTGGCGATGGTGCACACGAAGCCGCGTTGTTCACACAGTATCACTCCCCATTCCTATACAAACACTGCTCTTGCTACCCACCCACCCACCCACCCACCCACCCACCCACCCACCCATCCACCCGCCGTGCCCCGCGGTGCCACCTACTCCACGGGGATGGCATGCGAGTTGCTCGCCTCCTGCCCCAGCCCGCCCACGCCCTGCATAGAAAACTGCCGAAACGCGCCGCCCGCAGCAATGGCAGGCAGCATGGAGAGGCGCGAGAGCGCGGGCAGGGCGGTGTGCCACGTGCCGAGGCCAAAGCGGTCATTCAGGCCGAAGCAGTCGGAGCCGAAGGGGATGGTGTAGGCGTGCAGGGGGAAGGCGGAGAGCGGCGGCAGGGGGCGGTGCCAGAAGGTGTCGACTCGCGTGCGCAGCAGCCAGTCGAAGGTGATGGCGTGGCGGCGCTCGTAGGCGCGCATGAGGGGGATGCACCCCTCCACGAGACGGAAGTACTGCAGCATGCCCTGGCGTGATGGAGAGGGAGGGAGGGACACAGACGCAGTGCACGGGTGGGTGGGCAAAAGTTTCACAATGAAGTATAAACGCAAAGCGACCGCAATGCGCACAACACTTGAGAACGCAAGGTTGTAAACAAGCTCGTTTTCCCAGGTGAGGTGGTGGGTAGGCAGCAGCACTGGTACACGGGATGTTGCTTGTATGCAGGCAGGCGAGCATGCACATGCAGCCACACGAGTTGCACCTCCAATGCAGCCCCCATCACCCGCCTACCTGAGTGCCGTGTGGCGAGGAAGGGTCCTCCACCACCCCCGGCGGCAGGGCGCTCTCATTCACCCACGTGCTGGGGAACACGCGCACCGCCCCCACGGCCACGCCGCGCCGCGCAGCCCAGAGCAGCGGCCAGAGCTTGAAGGAGGCGCGGTCAAGGGGCGCGTGCACGAAGAGCACGGGGCGGTGCGGCAGCAGCGGCAGCAGCAGGCGCTGCACGATGGACGGGCCCGTGAGCTCGAAGTCGCGCGCCCCGCCCACGAGGCACACCCCCACCCGCCACAGGTGGGCCGGCTTGGCTGCCACCTGCCGGAGGGAAGGGCCCGTGCCGTGCGTGATGCGACCGACGGTGGACAGGCGGGGTGAGGGTGGCACGGTGAGAACGGGCGTGCGAGGGGGCAGCGCAGGTGCGTGACAGGGTAAGGAAGGGAAGGGGGGAGATAGAGGAAGGAGAGGAGGAGGAGGGACGCTGAGGAATTTGAGAGGATAGAGAGGAGGGGTGGCATGGTGTGGTGCAGTGAGTGAGTGAGGTGCGTTGCTTCACCTGCTCCCCCGTGTTCTCGTTCCCTCTCCACGTGTCATCCCCTCCCATCTCACCCTGCTGCGCCGCGCCATCATCAGGGACAGCAGCAGCAGCAGCAGCAGCAGCAGCAGCAGCAGGAGCAGCAGGAGCAGGAGGGATGTCAAACAACACGTCTTCATCGCTGCCTGCACCCTCTGCTTCCCCCAATGCTGCTGCTACCTCCACACTCTCCTTAGCCTCCCTCCACCCAAACCCCCCTGTGTTGCCCTCCGACCCTGCCGCGCCCTCCCCCTCCTCCCACGCACCACCTGCCTCATCGCCTTCCATACCCTCTCCCTCCTCCTCCTCCGACCCGTCTGCCCCGCCCTCCTCCGCCGAATATGGCCCCATGCCATGTGACCCATCTGCGACATGTGACCCATCTGCGACATGTGACCCATCTGCGCCATGTGACCCATCTGCGCCATGTGACCCATCTGCGCCATGTGACCCATCTGCGCCCTGTGACCCATCCGCGCCCTCTGGCTCATCCGCGCCCTGTGACCCATCCGCGCCCTCTGGCTCATCCGCGCCCTGTGACCCATCCGCGCCCTCTGGCTCATCCGCGCCCTGTGACCCATCCGCGCCCTCTGGCTCATCCGCGCCCTGTGACCCATCCGCGCCCTGTGGCTCATCCGCGCCCTCTGGCTCATCCGCGCCCTGTGGCGCAGCTGCATTGCCATCATCACCCAAGCCCCCCCCTTCCTTCTCCCCCACTGCTCTCTCTCCCTCGCTCCTACCCTCACTCCCCTTGCCCTCCGCCTGCTCCAGTTCCCCCTCATCCCCCGCACCCCCCTTCCCCCCATCACCCCCCTCGCCCCCCTCATCCCCCTTGCCCCCTATCACAGCAGCCAACAGCCGCCTGCCTGCACGGAGTTCCCCCTCTGCCTCCGCCTCTCCTCGCTTCACCCCCGCGCCCCTCACTCCTCCCGCTCCACCCTCCTCCCCACTCGCCGCCCCTTCCCCAATTCTCCACCCGTCGCCCCTCCCCCCAACCCATTGTTGCACGCCCTCTGCTCTCCGCCAGTGTGCTTCCCCATCCGTTTGCTCCGCGCCCTCCGCGGGCTGCCACTAATACATGCGGCGCGAGGGAGGGGGGAGGGGCGTGCGGGGTGGAGGGGTGGGAGAGGGTGGGACGGGAGAAGCACGGGGAAAATGGGTTGGGAAGGTGGGGTGAATGAGGGTAAGCCGGGTGAAATGGCGCTGGATCAGGCACGGCGCAGGACGGCACGCATGGGAGCAGCGAGAGTGGCACGCGGGCAACGGGGCACGCGAGCAAGGGCACCTGAGAGAGCGGCGAGTGGAGCGCGACGGCGGTCACGAGGCACGCAGCCCACGCTGCGACCAGCACTGCCGACCTCGAGAGCCGTGATCCGCGTTCGACTCTCATCGCGGAGCGAGCCCCGCGACGTTACGAGGAAATCCGATTGGAAATTCGCATCGCGGCACGAGCGTTTGGCGCGTCACCGCCGCCTGGAACGGTCATGTGGCATGGAGTGGTTAAAACCCAGGGTCCACAGGTTTCAAAGGTAGGAAGGTTGGTTGGACTTTGTGACCCAACCAAAGGTAGGAAGGATGAGGCAACTACGGGAAACTTGAGACTCCGGTTTTAATGTGCGTCAGCGCGCCGCAAGGTGCGGCAACGCGAGCCCTCAGACAGCTCGATCAGCAAAATGCGACACCGGGGAAATGGCAGCGCCAGGGAGGGGAAGCGTGGATGGCGCGGACTGCGATTCCAGAGGAAGAGGGGACGGTGGCGGGAGGACGCGAGGCCGCATGGGGAAGCGACGGCTAGGGGGAAGGGACGCGAGGGCTATAAGAAAACGGCTGGCGAATGATTTTTTTTTGACGGGGGAATGCGACGGGTCGCAATGAATAGTGTTCGCGTTCTGTGTATGACATGATGCTCACCGTAGTGTGCTTCACATTAGAGCAGTCGCTACTTCTAATACCTCGCGATTCAGGACACAAACTATATCCACTTCCAAAATGCCGCCCCTCGATACTAGGCCGATATTGAGGAGGCTTGCAGCAAAATTGTTATGACTTGTCTTATGTTATGAGTTGTACAACAGAGTAGTGCGGAATAGCGAATAACGAGGCTGCTACTCAATGAACTCACAATACAATGAACGCACGTGATAGAATAGTGGCTATCTGTTACGGGTGCAATGAATCGAAGTAGCGAGAATTGCACTAAGGTGTCAAACGAGTACCAAGATGTGAGCGAAGGCATGAGCGAACATTTATATGCGAAGCATGCAAACGGTAACGCGGTGCGTGCGAGCTAGCTAGTGCTATGCTGGCAGCGAGGCTCGGGCTAATCCCAAAGCGTAGGCCGACACGGCCGGGCCAGCAGTGCGAGGTTTGGTGAAACAGTGCGCGCGAAGTCGGCGAAGTTCCGTTAGCAGTAACGGGCGAACAACGGTTGTTGCTGTACGCGATGTAGTCGGGCTCCGTAAGGAATGCCGAGAAAATTCCTTACACTACCACCAACCCCTCAAGAAGCCCCCTCCGCTACGCGAGTGCGTGTATGTCGCGGAATCCCTGGCTCCTCAGGTACACTTGCAGGGCAGGGTGGTTTTCAATGTTGGCCAGGGGCACCCAGCTATCCTCAGTTGGCGTGCGGTCCTTCCAGCGAACGAGGAATTCAATCCTCCTAATTCCCGTGGGGTGTCGAATCCGATGGCTCAGGATTTTTTCGGGCTCGATGATCGGCTCCGATGCAGGGCGAGTCATGGATGGCGGGCGGTGGCGAGGCAATTGGCTTGTGGTTGGGATGTATGGGCGAAGTAAGCTGACGTGGAACGAAGGGCTGATGTACCAGTCGGTCGGTAACAGTAGGTGCGCGGTTACTGGCGTGATAATGTGGCTGATTTGGAATGGGCCACAGTAGCGCGGTCGCAGTTTTGGTACGTCGGGCAGTCGCAGGTTTTGCGTGTCGAGCAGTACGTAATCCCCTGACTGGTAGGTGACGGGTCGGCGGTGGCGGTCAGCGTTGCGCTTAGCGATGGCATTTGCTTTTTTAATTGCTTCTGCAGCTCTGGTGCGGGCAGCTTGCAGAATTTCGGCGAATTGTTGTGCACGTGGTGTCGGATTGTCCGGACTCGGCGTCATGGGCACTGTAGGATTTTGCCCGTAGTTCAGGTAGAAGGGGGACTGCTGCGTCGTCGCTGACGTGGCGTTGTTGTACGCGAACTCGATCAGCGGCAGCTGCTGTTCCCAAGTCGTGGGGTCGTCGCACGTGGCACGAATCAACTGCTCCATCGTCTGATTCGTCCGCTCCGTTTGGCCGTCGGTCTCGGGGTGGTACGACGAACTGAACTGTAGCCTGGTCCTGAACTGCTCCCAGAGGTTTTTCCAGAAGTTGCTGGTAAACTTCGTGTCCCTGTCGCTGATAATCGCTGCTGGTATCCCGTGCAGGCGAACAACGGCTGCGATGAACAGACGAGCGGTCTCCTCGGCTGACTTCGACTTTTTGCACGCAGCGAAGTGTGCCATCTTCGTCAGCCTGTCAACGACGACCATCACCGCGTCGTTACCCCCAGGGTTCGAAGGTAACCCTGTGACGAAGTCCATGGTAACCTGCTGCCAGGCGCGCTCGGGCGGTGGTATCGGCTGCAATTGACCCGCCTTCCGCTTCCTCGAGCTCTTCATCACCTGACACGTGGGGCACGAGCCCACGTGCTGCTGTACGTCGGTCAACAGCTCCGGCCGGTAATAATACCGCTGCAGTTGCTGTCGCGTTTTTTCTACCCCAAAGTGTCCCGAGGTAATTCCGTCGTGTGCCTCCTGCAGTAGCAGCTCCCTCAGTAGTGAGTACGCAGGTACCCAGATGCGGTTGGTGCCTGTTTTTACGTAATAAACTCCTTTAGCTTCTGCCAGTTGCTGTGAGTTTCCAGTCGTGAAAAATGGGTCGGTGCGGTATCCGTGGGTGAATAGGCCTGTTAGCAGCGGGTTGGTCTGGGCGAGTAGGATGGCGTGGAGTTGGGCGGTAGGGCGGGTGAGTGCGTCGGCGATGTTGGATGCGCCTTTCTTGTACGTAACCGTGTAGTAGAAGTTGGACTCGAGGTAGTCCAGCCAGCGAATTTGTCGCGGATTGAGATTTGGTTGGGCGCGTAAGTACTGTAGTGATCGGTGGTCTGTCCGTACTGTCACGTCGGCGCCAGTCAGGTAACACCGCCAAACCTTGAACGCGTGCATGATCGCCAACATTTCGCGGTCGTGTATCGGGTAGTTGCGTTCGGGCGGGTGCAGTTTGCAGGACTCGTACGCGATTGGCTGGAGGCCGTTCCCGAAATCCTGCAACAGTACTGCTCCCACAGCGATGTCACTTGCGTCAGTGACGAGCTCGAACGGACGGTGTGGATCTGCGATGTGAAGCACGGGCGGGGAGCACAAAATGTTTTTGAGGGCCGAGAAGGCAGCTTGCTCTTTCTCCCCCCACGTGTACTCAACCCCCTTCCTTAGCAGGTCAGTCAACGGGGCAGTCAGCTTCGCCATGTCGGGGACGAACCGACGCACGTAGTTGACGAACCCCAGAAAACTCTGCAACTCTGTCAAGTTGGTCGGCGCGTGCCAAGCCTGAATCGTCGCAATTTTCTTCGGGTCTATTTCCACTCCTGCGGCTGAAATAACGTGTCCCAAAAACTCCAGACGGTCCTGTAAAAATTCACACTTAGACGCTTTTGTTAGTAGGCGGTTCTCACTCAGTATTTTAAAAACTGCTTCGATATCCTGTAAGTGCTGTGCTCTGTCAGGGCTGTAAATCAGTATGTCGTCCAGGTATACTATGACGCACTTATCTAAGAGTGGGCGGAAAGCTTCGTTCATGGTAATTTGGAAAGTGGCGGGGGCGTTGGTCAGTCCGAAGGGCATGACGGTGTATTCGAAGGATCCGTAGCGTGTTCGGAATGCGGTTTTAGGGCAGTCGGGCGGATTGACACGAATCTGATGGTAACCCCCCCGGAGGTCGATTTTCGAGAAATCCCGGGCCGTGCGCAGTTGGTCGATCAATTCGTCGGCTCGTGGGATGGGGTAACGGGATTTGATGGTAACCCTGTTCAGTGCTCTGTAATCGATGCACATGCGAAATCCCCCGTCTTTTTTCGGCGTAAACAGTATCGGTGCTGCGAAAGGCGACGAACTGGGGCGAATGAACTCCTTCTCGAGCAGGTAATCGAGCTGCTTCCTCAGTTCGTCCAGTTCGGGCTGGGTCAGTCGGAACTGTCGCTGTACTGTTGGCTGTGCCCCCGGTTCCAATTCTATTCTGTGATCGTGCGGTCGCTGAGGTGGCAGTCCCGTCGGTAAGTCGTCCGGGAAAATGTCGCTGTACTGCTTCAATAGTACTGCCAGGTCACTCGGTACGTCGGTCAGCAGTTTCTGCAAATCTCCTCCCTTGTCTGCTGCCTCGGCTTCCCGAATGTCGACCGCGTACACGTCAGCTCCCGCCGCTACGGCGCGTTTCATTGTGATCGCGTTGACACGCACCGACGAAGACTCAGGCGAGCCCCAGCGAGGTAGGGCGATGTGGTTACCGTTCACTCGCACGGTGCAGTCACCCGTCGTCCAGTCGATTCGCAGATTGTGTCGTCGCAACCAATCACGCCCGAGTAAAATATCGGTTCCGTCGAGGGTCGTTGCGAGCATTTCTTGGCTAAATGTGAAGTTACCCCCGCATCGAATCCGAACCCGGTCTACGCGTTCCCGTATTGCCAGCGGCGTGCCGTCTACCAGTCGTGCGTCGATCTCAGGTAAACATCTGTCCAGTAGCAGTCGCAGTTTTCGTGCTGTAGCAGTGTTGATGAGGCTGTGGCTGGCTCCCCCGTCTACGAAGATTTTAACTAAGTCCGTCCCGATTTTCCCACTAAGCAGTATAAGGCTGTCTACCGTAGTACCCTCCTTATTCGGCCGGGTGTGGTCGATTGCGTGAACCGGCACAATCACTCGGTGAGGGTCGGTTGGGTCGGGCGAGCGGCGTGACCTGTCAGTAGAGGGCCCGTCTGCTACTGACTCCCAGCGTTTCCCTGCTGCTTGGTCTGTTTCTGCTGCTCAGCTTCCCCCTTTCCCTTAGCATTTTCCGGGCATTCGCTCTTGCGGTGTCCCGGCTGATTACACGCGAAGCAGCGCCCTTTGAACGGTGCGGCAGCGGCATTCGCGGCGACGGCACGTATCGTAGCGCCCTCGTTCGTCCCACGAGACCGATGTCCCCAGTTGCTGCTACTGCCGTAGGACCCCGGTCTCGGTCGGCGGAAGAAGTCGAGCTTCTCCGCCATAGCGAGAATCTCCTGAAAATCGGTGACGCCGCGAAGCTGAATTTCTTGAGCGATGTCGTGCTTCAGGCCGCCGATGTAGCGGTCGATGCGCTCGCTCTCATGCATGTAGCCCACT